TGTTGTTTGGCGGGTCCAGGCTGGGGATTCGAACCCGCCACCTTAGGTGTACGTGGCTGGCGCCTTAGCCGGTTGAGCTATAGGCGCCGAGCCAGCATTCATTTTTTTATGTAGCTACATCTCCATTCTGTGTTGAATTAGTGTCACCTGCTAAAGCTAGAGTAATCAGTGGAATTACTTGAAGTGTATTTATATATGGGTACCTTGCTGTAACACATACATGGTCATGTCTTTAGTTTTATCAGTAAGGCGCTCTTAATTCCTATACATACACCCTTGTACACAAATAGTGTTATGTTATTACAGCTCAATGAGATCCTCCTTAGATCATCCAGGTCTGGAGTTATGAACTAACTGCCCATGGGTGGAAGACCCACAGATGCATTCTCAGTTGAATCATTGGTTAACAGTAAAAAACAAACAAAAAACCCTTTTAATGCCATTAGCAAAAAGACGCATGATTAGTTTTGCCAGACTCCATCTCTCCCTATTGTTCACATCCCAGTCAGCTCTCACTTTATCTGCTTGACCCTTATGAGCATGTGAACTATGAATAGACTGCTGAACTAGTCCAGCTTCCCTTATTTTATAGATAAGAAACTAAAAAGAGGTTTGGTGTCCGTAGCACAGTGGTTATGGCGCCAGCCACATACATCGAGGGTGGCGAGTTTGAACCCGACCCTGGCCAGCTAAATGACAATGACAACTGCAACAAAAAAATAACTGGGCATTGTGGCAGGTGCCTGTAGTCCCTGCTACTTTGGAGGCTGAGGCAAGAGAATTGCCTAAGTCCAAGAGCTGGAGGTTGCTGTGAGCTATGACGCAACGGCACTCTACCGAGGGCAAGATAATGAGACTCTGTCTCAAAAAATAAGAAACTAGCAAGAGTCTGGTGCAGGGGTCCTCAAACTTTTTAATCAGGGAGCCAGTTCACTGTCGGTCAGACCATTGGAGAGCCGGACTGCGGGCCCCCGGACAAGTCGGCTGCTAAGCAGGACAGGCAGAGGTGGCAAAAACACCCAGTGGGCCGCATATAGCCCGCGACGCCTGGTCTGGTGTATGTGAGAAGATATTATGGGGGTTTGATTTTGTTGTGTGCCTAATCGTTCATTCCAGCAGAACATCCCTTAATATAAATGTAAGGATTGTTCCGATTATATTAGTACACTGCAACTGCTAAAAGCATTTGTGGCTGTACTTCTTCAAAGTGAAATGACATTAATTGAGTAGTAGGATTTGTTATGTAAGCAATTTACATACAAGTTTTCAGGGATATGGATAATACAGAACCTGAACATTTGGATTAGCCTAATACAGAGAAACTGGTTAAGTGTTTTCTTGGTTCCTTAAATATTAAGAAGGTAAAAAGCACATGTGTTGCTTTAATCCTATGTTTAGAATATTTATATAAAACAGAACTTAACACTGTTTTTCAGCACAATGTTAGAGGCGTTGTATCTATGGCTAATAACGGCCCCAACACCAATGGATCTCAGTTCTTCATCACCTATGGCAAGCAGCCACATTTGGACATGAAATACACAGTATTTGGAAAGTGAGTATATTTGGTTATGGTTTTCTTTGGCATTTCAATGCAAGAAGTGCAGATGCTTGGCTGTCATAGTAGCATAACTGACATTGATAAGAGCAATATAACAGCAAGTGTACTGTGACTTTGGGAAAGTTATAACCTCTCTGAGCCTCATTTTACTTGTTTTATAAAAGAGGGGCCAATAATTGTTTTTTTAGGATTGTTATGCAAATCAGTGATGTATCTATTTTCATTAAGAATAGCATCTCACGGCTCGGCACCTATAGCTCAACCGGCTAAGGCGCCAGCCACGTACACCTA